ACACGGGGGAAAGACGCGGAGGACACAGGGTGGCCGCCACCCCCTCTGCAGCCCTGTGCCACCTGGCAGGGCCCCGCCGGTGACAGTGACAGCGGCGGTGGCAGCGCTGGAGGTGGCACGGGGCGGTGGGCACGGCAGCGCCGGGGACAGTGGCAGGGCCAGGACAATGACAGGTCCGGTGCCAGCGCCAGTGTCGCGACAGTGACGGTGACAGCCACGGGGACAGTGCCGTGGGGGTGACGGTGCCAGTGCCACAGCGGTGCGGGTGACACTGGCAGCACCACAGTGGTGGCAGTGCCATGGCGATGGCAGTGGTGGTGACAGTGACACAGCAGTGCAGGTGACACTGATGGTGACAGTGACATGGTGGTGGCAGTGCCATGGCGATGGCAGTGGTGGTGACAGTGCCACGGCGGTGCTGGTGACACTGTGACAGTGACACTGACAGGTGACAGTGACACGGCAGTGGCAGTGCCATGGTGATGGCAGTGGTGGTGACAGTGCCACGGCAGGGCGGGTGACACTGTGACAGTGACATGGTGGTGGCAGTGCCATGGTGATGGCAGTGGTGGTGACAGTGTCACGGCAGTCCGGGTGACACTGACAGTGACACGGTGGTGGTGACAGTGTCACGGCAGTCCGGGTGACACTGACAGTGACACGGTGGTGGCAGTGCCATGGTAATGGCAGTGGTGGTGACAGTGCCACGGCGGTGCGGGTGACACTGACAGTGACACGGTGGCGGTGCCAGTGCCACGGCGGTGCGGGTGACACTGGCACTGACACGGCGATGGCAGTGACAGTGACAGTGGCGATGGCAGCGGCGGTGACGGCGGAGCCTCATCTGTCATTCCGGCTGCGGCCGCGTCCCTCCGCCATCTGTCACCACCCGGTGCCAGCGCTGGCACCGCCGCCACCGCCGCTGTCACCCCTTCGCTGCCGGAGCCGCCGCCGGCGCCGCGGGGTGGCACCAGGGGACACGGGAGGGGACCCCGGCAGTGTCTGGGGGGTGTCCCGGTCCCCCGTGGGTGGCACAGCCGTGTCCCCTCCCCGCGCGGGTGCCACCCCCGCCACCCCCGGGGGACACGGGAGGACAAAACCCCCGCCCCGCCGGGCACCGGGAGGGGACAGCGGGGACAGGACAGGGCGGCAGAGGGGACACGAGTCCTCGCGTGTCCCCCCCGGTGTCCCCCCGGTGTCCCCCAGCGGCTGCTCGGGGACCCCCGCGCCAGCCGTGCCGCCGTCACCGCGGGGCGGGGGCGGCGGGGCGGCGCCCACGCGGGTCGCGACACGCGGGGCAGCGCCTCGGCATGTCGCGACACGCTCCGGGCACGTCGCGACACCGCGGGGTGTCACCTGCCAGCACCGGGGACGCGGCGGAGGGGACACAGGTGTCCCGGGACACCGGCCCCCCTCCTTCCCCGGAGGAAATTGGGGCTGGGGGCGGCGGGAGCGGAGAAATGCGGGAAGGGCAGGACCCCCAACACCGGGCAAAACCGCCCCGAAACGGAGCCCCTCCGGTTGACCCGGATCAGGGGCCCCGGTTCCACCGGCGGAGGGGGAAATCGGGACCCCCGAGTGCCGCGGAGGCCGGGGGGGCCAGCCCATCAAATCCCCCCGCCCCCCACTCCGGGGGAGGCCCAGGGAAGCTTTTGGGGCGATTTCGGGGGATTTTGGCTCAGCTCGGCGGCAGATTTTCGGCGGCTGCCGAGGCCTGGAAGCCATTAGGGCCGCCCCCCCCTCCGCGGGCCCCGGCGGCTCCCGCCAGCGCGGGCGGGCGGGGGGGCCCCGGCGGACCGGGGGGCCCCGCGAGGAGCGGCCCCGCCGCCGGCCGCCCCCCCGCGGTAACCGCGGGCCCCGCTCCCGTTACCCCCTCCCGCCGGGGGGGATCCCGGTGGTGTTGGTGC